CAGGGCACGCACGAGTGAGAACAAAGTGAGTGGAAAAGTCTAGTGGCGGTTTGTGAGGATCGTACTAGAGATCTGGAGGGTGTGTATGAGTAACTATCTCGGGTCTTACGGGACCGGATGCTATAGTGTGTGTAATAAGCGTCAAGTGATAACACAATTGTTAAGAGAATTGCGGCAAGTGACAAAACAAAAGATCGCATATAGAGGTCCCAAGAGAATAACTATTGTAGCTCTTAATTGAGCCAGTACCAACCACTCCACCTGCACCACCAATACCAAACCAAATCATACGTGGTGGATCTAAATTCAAACTCACAAGTTGAAGAGTGCTACAAGAAAAACCTGAACATTTTAAACTAGATTTTATGTGTTATGTTAATCTAAAATCTAAATACTCGTGCAAAGCCTCACAATGTCAGTCAGTATCACATACATAATTTTTATGTCTCGATCTCCTCAAACTCACTCTAAAAATCATTATTTGTTAAGTTGAGCTTCATATATTTATGTATGCTTGCAGTGTAGTTTGTGTAGTAAGAGAACATTTTAGACTTTCAATCGCAATTGCCACATGAGGTCAATATTATAGTCAAGTTCCCAAATCTAAAAGTGAAGGAAATAAGAGGTGTTAGCTGTCAAATTTAACTTATAGTACTCTGTTTTTATGTTTGGTTAGTTGGTTGCCCTGCATTACTCACACTCTTAAGTAGTTGGATCTATAATTTGTTAAAGTTTTTGGAAGTTGGCAGCCTTATACATTTTTAATGTATTTTGGAGTGGTAAATGTGATGTTATATAAAATATATATGAAATTTGCAGCCTCTCAAAATTGCGAATATTCACATGTTTTTCAAATTAACTAGTATGAGCTCTTATATTATATGATGTTAAACGTTAGCATTTTAAATTTACACCCACTATTGGAGGCTATTGAATGGTAAAAATATCTACATCGATATGAATCACATTAGGGTAGTACTTATGCTGTAAAATATGTTTTGGTAATAATGTTGTTGCTATGGATTACGCACATACATATTCGATCTCTTTCAATTTTAGTCCTAGCTAGTTTTAATTTCGGTTCTAGTTAAACGATTTAATTAAATGGTTTCTTTCATTGAAGTGATTAGTTCTACATATATTTAATCCTAGCATATGTGGAACCTTTTGTTTTACTTTCACTAGTACTTCAATATTGATTTGCATGTTAGGATTTAGACTCAAAAAACACAAACTAAAAAGACATGAGGAATATGTGACACAAGAATTTAACGTGGTTCACACGATTAGAATAATCATGCTACGTCCACAACAAAATAGAGACAGATTTTATTGATTTCATAAGATATATACGCTCTATAAATTTATTAAACACAAAAGCAGTAGCAAAAAAAAAACAAAATAAAAACATTAATCATTTAAATTTGAAGCTTAGGTTCCTGCCGACAATGTGTTAAAAGGCTTAGGTTGTCAACCTAAGTCGTACACTAATTCAGTAGAATACAAGGGTCTGATAAAAGTGAGTAGTATACAACAAAGGTTTCTGCAACCTGAAACATCCATGCGTTTGACATCAACCTAAGTCGTACACTACTCATTAATTACCACTTTTTTCAGTTAGCTGTATCGCTATTTAATACTTCATGATTAAATAAACTTGAAATTAATTTCTTTTATCGAGCAGTCGGCAGGAGACTAAATCAACACAACCAAAATGAATTTCTTGACATTAAAGGAAGCAATATGAAATCCACAAAAGCAATTAAGCAAAACCGGCAAGCTCTCTAATCAATATGAGATTCAATAACTTTGAAATCCTTAGCACCATCGCCGATGTTCTCTGATCAATATTGATGGAGTATATGGCCCAGGAACCTCCGACCCATATACTCTCACTACTGTAGCAAAGGCTCAACAGGCCCAGAAAGCATGGCAGACCCAAATTACAGCGCCCCAAGTGCCAAGCAGCCCACGACGAGCACTGGGGTGCCTTCGGCCCCCTGGCCGAAGGCTAATTAATAAACGCACAATACAGCTTCTTTAAAGTACTCAGAGTGTTCGGGAGAAAGCAGCGAAACAGTAGCCCTCGGCGCCTACAGCCCTCGGCACCTAGGGCCCCCCGGTATGAAGAGCCTTCGGTCAATCATCTACGGCCGAGGGCATCTCCTCGACAGAATCTCCCACCCACATGCGCCGGATCAACGTACTAAGTACAAACGTCACATCCAACCACCGCATTTAATGCGGCCACATGCGTGTGCCAGTGCCACCCCGCTGAGGTGACCCCTCGACCACCAGAATAATGACACGTGTCCCTATCTGGCATTTATTACTACTATAAATAGCACTCCTTTCCCCATTTGTAATTCATGCTCAATACACTCAACGCATTCTCAACAATATATATTCTCTCTCTTACTTTTGCCCTGACTTCTCTCTAGTTATTCCCCGCAGTAACCTCTCGGATAGATACCCCCGGGTACACTTATCCATCAAATATGTTCATACTCAAAAGCTCCCTCTCACAAAAAAACAAGTTTTCATAATCCAGAATCTATGGAAATCAGTTTCATTTGTAAACTCCATTACAAAACGTTTATGGCCAATTAATCCAATAGAGAAAGAATCACAGAAGCCCAACCCCTCTATTGATTTTCAAAGATTGGCGAGGGAGGGGTGGCCATAATGGAACAAGCAGATTAGGGCAAAGGGGTGCGAAAAAGCCAATCTAGAAATACCTCTGAAGCATGAAGCCTGAGGGAGAGATGGAGCGTCACCTAGCCCTGCTTGGAAGCCGGAGAAGGAGAAATCGGGCATCGACACTTCGAAGATCGGCGGTAGGATTTTTGTGAACCCTAGTCTCTGAATTCTAAGAGCGCAGAAACAACGAAAGAGATATTGAAGGCCCGCAAACTGGAGCAGGAGCAAACAGAAATAAACGGGAGCAAGCATTCGCGGTTAGCTTCCGTCGGTACTGCATAAATGGAAATAGGCCAACTAACATCCTTAGGCATTTTAATAGTATAGTAAGATATATATATATATATATATATATATATATATATATATATATATATATATATATATATATATATATATAATTCGAATATATTCGAATATTATTCGAATCGAATATCATAGTATTTGTATTCGTATTCGTAAAGTATTCGAATCAAAAAATAGATTTGTATTCGTATTCGTATTCTACTTACTCGAATTCAAATCGACATTTTCGAATTCGAATCACAAATCGAATCAAAATTATTCGATTCGTTTACAACCCTATTCATAGTGGCTAATTGAGAGCTTAGTTTTAAAAAGCTTGACTGTGGCGTAACTAGGCACAACAGAGACCCCTTCCGCGCTTCTGGAGGCATCAGACTCTTCTGCTCCTCTCTTTTCTGCACGAAATAGTTGGTATGTCAAACGTTGTTTCCTTCTTATCTTCTTCCTCGCTCCTTGTGCTTCTTGCCCTTCTCGTCTTCTTCTCGTAATCAGGGATGGATTTAGGGGGGGCGTGGAGGCGACCGCCCCCCATGGACTTTTAAAACTTTCCATTATATATGTAATATTTTCATAAAATTTTTCATACTTTAATTAGATATATATATATGTTCGCCCCCCTTAACTTTTAGTTTTCAAAATTAACACATAGTCTTACATAATGTAAAACTTAATTGGAGATTTAAAAGAACAAACGTCTAAAATAATTTACATACTTAAGCAAATAAACAATCTAATAGAACAACTCTGATCATTGTTTAAGACTTGGGATATTTATTAGGCAATCGGATGAGTTCTAATGCCCTTTTCACAACCTTGTAATCCCGGTTTTCGCGTACATCTAGCTATGTTTTCAAAATAGATTATAAGGGTGACGTTAAATAGTTAGCCAATATTGGCTTAAATATAGGTAAAAACTAACGACACTTAAGCTAGAATGGGGATTAAGAGGTTGTCAATGGGCCGTTAGGACTCATTTGATTGGTTTTTATAAGTAGACGTATTTATATGACACTTTATTGAGTACATGACCTTATGTGACGACTCTGTAATAGTAGAAGGCCTTATTTGACACTTTACCCTATTTATTATATAAATATTCCTAGTTTTGTAGTGTTTAGTTATCTTTATTAGATAATTAGTACTCGATTTTGTAAAATATCAAATGATATTAACTACCAAACACACTAGTTAAATAGTTTTTAGATCATGTGACGTGAATCCAAAATATAAATTTTTGTTGACATTAAACTACACAATTCATTTACTTGTTACATTCTACAAACTAATTATTGCATAGATAATAAACTTTAACATATTTTACCATTAATGCAAATATAATATGCACCATTTATATGAATCAACAATATACTATTATTCTAAAAATAATAATGTCATACATACTATTGTAATAATAAGAAAACTCTTCATGACTCACAAGCACCCTCTTTGTTAGACAAAAATTGTAATTGAAAAACCAATTCTTTATTGTGATAAAGATTCATGGAGTTAAACAAGGCAAATGTTATTTAAAAAGTATTGGTAGATGTATACCTTTTAAACTCTTTATCTTCAAATAACTTTCGTTTGGATTGTTATTTCTTACGATTTAATGTATTAATACTTTTTTTAGAGCATTTCAATTATAAAATCAAAGTTATTTTTTCATTGTCTAAACTTAGAATGTAATAGTTTAAAATGTCGTCGTGTATGTATTAATAAAAAATGAATAAAAAATTTCCGCAGAGCGCTATACTAGCAAAAAAAATCACCCCGCCACACTAGCGGGAAAAAAAAATCTTCGCACTACACTAGCGAAAAATTTTCACCCCCTACACTCATGAAAAAAATTCGCCCCCTTGACCATAAATCCTGGATCCATTACTGGTGGTATTCTCTTTGTATTTTTCTTGTCATGGGTGTAGCCAGGACCGATGTTTACTCTAGGCCGACTATACACTAAAAACATTATATAAAAATTTTAAAAGCGACAATAGTGTGAACATAACGATTAGAATCCATTAAAATTCATAGTAATAGTTTTAAACAATGCATACAATGTTTGAAACTAAAACGTTAACTGAACACGACGCTCTTTGACCTTAGCAAACTCATCTATGACAGAGTCAACGTCGATTTTGTTGTCAAATTCCTTTTCAATAAAGATGGTCAAATGATCAGCAAGAAATTCATTTTTTATCTTGTTACGAATTTCATTCTTCACAATGCTTCATATCTACCTCTTTTCGACCACGCATAAGCTTGCTCATCATGTCAGACACATTAATTTCATGCTGCAAGCAAAATTGTTTGACTTTCTCAAACAAGTTGTCCCACCCTTCATTTCGCAACTTTTGAAGCAAATCTTTTGCGGTTTCAACAAAACCAATTGCAGATAAGATGTCAACATTATCTCTTTGTAATGCTTGACAAACAAAATCTGTTATACGCATAACTGCTTCCATTAAATGCAAACCAAACACAAAATCAAAGCTCTTAACACTAGTGCAAACACCATCAGCTTCAATTCGAGCTTTGGGATTTGGACTGTCACATGCAATACTCATAAGAACTGTACACGTTGCATTAAACATTTCTATCATACTCAAGATAGATTCATAATGAGAGCCCCACCGAGTAGTACCTAATCTTTGCAAGGATGACATTTGATTTTTTTCCTCGGCCTGAATCCCGCTCCCCCCGAGCTAACATACCAATGACTTCCAATCTATGTGCTTCTTGTAATTATGTGTTTCGCTTTAGTGAAGATTTTACGATGTTGATAACTTTATCCAACATTGACAAAAAAATCAAACTGGGTCACATTGCTTGCAATCCATTCCATTGTCCACGCATATTACTTGCACCATTATATCCTTGACCTCGCAACTTGTGAACCTGAAGATTATACTCAAAAGAACCGCAAATATATCATTCTTAAGTGTTTTAGAAGAAGTGTTAGAAACACCTTTGATAACAAAGAAATGTTCTGCCACAATACCTTCAATGTTCACAAATATAAGAATAATAGCCATTTGCTCTCTATCAGATTCATCTTTGCACTCATCTACAAGTATAGAAAAATACTTGTCTCCGATTTCCTCACGAATCATACGCCGAACATGATTAGCCAGAAGAGCTAAAAGTTCCTTTTGAATGTCTGGGGAGGTATACTTGGCATTCTGTGGAGCATTGCTCAAGACAATATCATTCACTTCAGTATTCCATTCTCCGGTATATTTAATCAATTCAATAACATTTCCATGTTTGAGAGATGTTTCGGACTCATCATGACCCCTAAATGCACAACCTTGTAAAGCTAACCACAAAATATTTTTAATGGTTGTCCTTACACGCAAATGATTTTTCACCACTTCTTCTTTATCGATCCTAGCAATGACTTTGTCAATATGTTGAATTGGTTTCATTAAGGAGTCAGTAGAAGTCACACTCTGATTATGAGGTGAGGAAGGAGATGAACCAACATGCATAAGAAACACATATTCTTTACCCCGATGAACTCATTTTCAAGTATCAAAACCAGTAAAGCCGAAACACAAGACGAGTGCACAACATCACTGAGGAGAAAGCACGGAAAACAATATGTTTTATGTGTTGTTGGAGAGTATTCCAACCAATTAAATTCATTGAACCAAGTAGCTTGAAAATGACGTATCCTATCTTTGTAAATTCGGCCTTTGTAAAAGTCCAGTTTCGGTTGATAAGGTCCAAGCATTAAATAAGATCGTCTAATTTCATCTCTTCTCTCTAACGGCCAATTACTTATCGTTTTGCGTTTTCCCGGATCCCGCTCAATTTCATGTGCATCAGAAACTACTTCCTCTTGAGCGGATGAGATATTAAGAGTTTCAATTGAGACATTTAACTCTTGTCTACTTTGAGTGCTTGTACTAGGATTATAAAACGAACGCAATGTGATTTTTGCTTTTTTTGAAAGTAGATTGAGTAGTGATACCTACTAAAATTAGCAAACAAAAATAAAAAACTAATCAATATTATATTTGAATTCATATAATTCATATTAATATTTTGAGGAATTCACAAATCAAATTTGACATTCCTAAATCCTAATTTTTCATTTTACAATTCAAAGCACACAATGAGAACACACTAAGTCACTAACACAAACTCAAATAACAAATAAAATACTTAAATTAAACTAAAAATTGTAAAAACCAAAAAGACAACAACTGAAAGTCTGAAACCCTTACCTCGAGGCTCGAGAGAACTGGAGCCGAATCTGAAGAAGCAGGTCAGCCGCAGGCAGTCAAGGGAACGGCTGCAGGCAGTCAAGAGAAGCAGTGCATGGCGAGCGGCGGAGCCAAGGGAGATAGGCGTTGGTTCTGCGCAGGGGCGGAGGGAGGTTCTGTGCCCTGGAGGCCCTGCGGACTACGGTTCTTTCTTTCTTCTGATGCTTCAGTCCTTGGCGTAATGGGCAGAAGTTCTGTGCTTCTTTTCTGCGCTTGGGGTTCTTTTCTTTCTGGGCTGCAGTGGACGTTGCACCGGGGCCCCCTCCCTCCGCCCGGAGAATGAGTAGTCTTACCCATATTTATACCAATCTTCTTAGAGCTCTCACACATTTCTTTCCATTACATTGCATTACATCATATCAAACATGGCCTTAAAAAATGAAGTTGATGAGACACAATTGTCGCCATGGTATTATAAAGGATGACATCCCATCTTTGAGAGCCTCCAACCCCGACCGAACGGTACATTGGGATGATGTAAATTGGACTATAATCGCAATCTGACAAATAGAGAGTGGAGCTCTGTTCCCGGTACTTGCAGAAGCCCTATACATTTTTAGCATAGTAACCCCTCATTGCAGTTGCCGGGATTCGAACCCGGGACTTAACCTTTGTGGCACTCCCTGACTACCAGTTGAGCTACGCCCACAGGTTCACCATGGTATTAAGAAATTGTTTGAAGATGTATTTGTGTGTGTGTGTTTTATTGCGAGATTAGCACGCAGTTACGGGCAAGGGGCAGTCACCCGCCTCCAATTATTATGTCCTAATAACTCTAAATAGTTAAAATTATTCTCAAAAATTAACATAAACGTGTATGTATGAGTAGGTATTAGTTTTAGAGTATCACCCCAATTAAAAATCCTACGCCATCAATGTTAAGACATGATCCAAAATATTTGGTTGGGTCGGTTCCTTGTCTATTTTTTGGAACATATCTTTTCGGTTAAATTTCCTAGGCCCCATTGATCGAGGTGTGTTGTTTTCGACTTGCTTGTTTTGTTTTTGCAACAGTTTTAGATTTTGAAAACAAATAAATAAATGAGGTTTTAAGTTTTTTTTAGTAATTAGCAATGGTATGACTGATGAGCAATTTAGTTTGAATTGATTAAACGATGTATAATTGTTTTGATGTACTGTACTTTTTATGAACTAATAGAGGAGTATAACGACAAGTTAGCAACTGGTTGTACTGTCATCCCGAATGGGGCCTAGGCTAGCTTATTCTAGTTTTCAATATTGTCATGCCAAACTAGCTAGTACGAAGTACTTGTGTGTAGCAACATAGCATATTTACCATCTCTCGTATGCTCAGTCGGGTTGGGGCGTGGGGACTCTTCTTATTGGAGAGTCAACCTTTTGGATAAACTTAACTTCAGTGGTAAGAGATGTGTGCTTAAACTTGGATAATAAGAGAATTTTATCAACCCATTCACTACAAAGTTGAAATAAATGTCATCGGTTTTCAGAAACTTGAGACTGATCTGAAGGTGCAATGGAATCAGTTCAGGATGCGACATAAATGAAAACCGATGACTTGTTGCTTTATTATTTCATTATGTCAATTTTTTATGATTTCTCCTACTTTTATATTTTGCATTACTACGTACTTTTTATTTATTCATTTTGCTTTGGGTATAGTCGTAAGTGTTTCAAATCACTATAGAAAATGAAGACTTACATGATGATGTTAATTTTAAGTTTATCCATTACATGGTAGCGGATCAAAGTCAAAGTCTTTATCATTGCACTTATGCATGAGTTGGTATGATATCGAGTCTATTGTAATGTGATTTGATCTATTGATTTAATACAGACTATTTCCATTAAAAAAAATCACTTAGCTTTGTCTCACCACTTAATTAATTAGCTCCTGGGCTTGATCCTCAATATAATGACCGTTTTTTTATTTTTCACCCGCATAAGCCCATTCTCATTTATTTTTTTTTAGAAATAGAGATTTTTATTACTCCCTCCGTCCTCCAAGTAAGTTCCCACTTTCTTTTTTGGGCAGTCCCACAATTAAATTCACAATTCCCTACTTTCCTTATTTGACAAATAATCTACATCAAAACAGTGTCAAACAGTGTACAAACAGTGGCGAAACAGTAATATAATCAATTGAAAACATTTCGTAAGTCAGACCTTGATTTCAACGGGATACTAATCAAATCCCTCCAAATTTCCTGGAGGACTAAAATTAATTTGAAATTCAAATATCGAGTATTATGTTTCCCTCCTAAATAAAATGAGCAAATTATTGTCATGCTGACATCATATTCTCATATTTTGGTATTACCATCCATTAAAATGATAGTATGAGTGTCATAATTGAGATTATTTTTCATGCATGACAGTAATTACTTGTATTTTGAAAAATGACATAGTTCCTATTTTTAAATTTCACATTATTTTTACTATTATATACTCCCTCCGTCCCATTTAAACGTTCCCATGCGGTTTACGACGTTTGACTAACTATAAAGTTAACTGATACCTTTCATTAATAGAATTTGTTAGTCCCAATATACTAAAAATCACACAATCATAGCAGATAAAGAAGAAGAAGAAGAAGAAGAAGAAGAAGCAGATAGAAAGATATGAGATATTCAATGAATCTTGTATACCGTGATAATGGCCACTACTCTCCCTTCAGAAGGAGAGCAGCGGCAAACCCTAATCTCTCTATATATGCGCCTCTATTCTCTAAAGCCTCAATCATTAGGTTTCCCGTAAGTTAGCCTCCTTTTATAGGAGATGATGGCTAACTTATGGGTTACAAAGAAGCTAACGGGCTGATATACATTTGTGACCCATATTACACATTTAATTAATAACCACACAAATACAAAGATACTTAACTAGATTGGACACCATAAAATATTCTCAACAATCTCCCCCATGGTGTTCAATTGTGTTGAATCAGCATTGCAGCACATATATCTTTGTCTTTATTGTTATTGAGCTTCCTTTGTCTTTGAACTTGACTTCTTGAGAAGGCTTTATGATGAAATCCTCGCAATCTCCCCTTTGATGTTTTCTTGGCAGTTTGATCTTTGATGTCGGGGTTTGAGGAATCTTTTTCTTGTAATCTGATATGCGCTAATTAGTAGTGCATAAGTGTATGTTTTTATGTTGGATTTGTATGTATTGTTTACCGTTTTATTTAGTTTGTAAACATTTGTGTAATTTTAGTTGTAGTTGTATTTTAATCTTCATTTGTAAGTTGTAAAGTAGAATTATGAATTAGGGTATTCAAAAGGAAGACTTTGAACAGAAGAAAATAAAGAATTTGACTGCCCAGGAGCAAAACCCGACCGGGTAGAAATCCTCACCCGGTCGGGCTTGATTTAACAACCGAAGAAGCAAGGAAAATGCTTGGCCCGGCCGGGCCCTATACCTCACCCGGTCGGGTGAGAAGTGACCGGGGACAACCCGGCCTGCGAAGATCACCAGAACGTGGTGGATTATCTGATTTTGAGCGGACCCGGTAGGGTAAGTAATTGACCCGGTCGGGTACCCGGCCAAAGGTGTTGAAAAACACCTATAAATAGCACACTTTTTCTTCTCTAAAAATCATCCCTTCTTCCATACTCTTAAGCTCAATTTAGAATAACATTTCTTTATATTTTTCTAGATATGTTTAGTGTCCAAATGAGGAGCTAAACTTCCATTCTTGGTGTTGCTCTTGAAGCTTGTTGATTATTAAAGTTGTGAGTTATTTTCTTAACTTCTTTCCTTGGATATTAATTATTAGTTTTTTCCTTAATACTATCTCTATATTAATGGTGGGGAGTGTTGCTAAGATGACAATTAGTTAACATCTTGACATTAGTTGGAATAGTATTTTCTTCCTCTATATTAATGTTGGGGAGTGTTGCTAAGATGACAATTAGTTAACATCTTGATATTAATTATAGTAGGATTCATCTCCTTAAATAATATTCTTCCTTGAATATTAATTAATTCCTATTCATATTTCATATTAATATTTTGAACATTACTTAATGGATCAACTGGTTTTGTTTCATATATTAATTATTACTAGAAACGATCAACGAACCGATGGTTAATCGTTGATGGTTTCACAAGTAAGTAACTTCGGTTTATTAATGCACGGTCGTGGTTGATAAACTTAAGAGGAATTAATTTTGTTGGTTAAACCGAAACCGTTGTGTTGAGGTTATCAATCTCAATTGATTTCATCAAGGAGTTAAGAGATTAAATGCTACTATCAAGTCGGTATATGGCGGTGTTCTATACTTGACTAATAGTAAGGGTTATTAATGAACGGTCGTTGTTAATAACTACCCTCGATGAATTGGATATACTCCTCGATTGAGTATTCGAGAGGGAATAAGTTATAGATATAACAATGATCGACTAAAATATATCAACAAGTGGAAAGTAACAATGCCAAGTCCTTTTTATCTTTGAATTAAATCTCATATAAGTCGTTCATCTTAGTTTTTATCTAAATTAAATCACTCATTCCAAATCCCCCCTTTTTATTTACTTATCTCATTAAAAAGATAATTATTCATTTCCCTGTGGATACGAACTCTACTACGCTATACTACATATTAGTGCTAGTATTGAATTTATTTTGACGTACCGTGACAAAGTGCTCATCAAATTTGGCGCCGTTGCCGGGGAAAGGCAATTATTTTTTTTTATTTTATCTCATAAAATAAATAAAAAATTATATATATAAAAAAATTGCTCTTCTATTTTCTGAGCTTACATGAGTTATGAGTATATGGATACCAACACTTCATCCTTAGAGAGTCAAATTTCCTCTTTGACTTCTCTAATAAAGGAATTTACCTTAAGCTCAAAAACTCAAGATGCCAAGACATGCAACATTTGCATTTCTCACAGACATCTTACGGATTTTTGCCCAAAGCTTCAAGAAGAATACTTTGAACAGAGTAATGATGTTGGTTTCCAAGAGAGGTATGATTTATTCTCCGACACATATAACCCATACTCAAGTTCTTATTCTAGCATGTCCACTGAAGACATGATCCGAGCTCTCACTATCAATGTGACAAAAATGCAACAAGATATGTCACAATACAGTGCTCAAAGAACTGAACTTGGAGAGTCAAATAAAACAAATGCCAAGCGTTGTGAACTACATCCACGAGGAGGAGGAAGAAGAGGAGCCTGCGGAAAAAGCTCAACCGGAGGAGGAACCTCAAAACTCAACTCCACCACCGACCATTCCTGAGACAATGCCACCATTTCCTGAGGCTCTAAGGGAAACACAAAGGGTAGAGAAGGTCAAAGACAAAATCTTCAGCGAATGTGAGGGT